CGAAGAGCACTCATTGGCTACATCCAAAGGTTTTGCAAGTGACGATATCCTGAAGGCCGTCGTTGATATCATTGACGAGCACTATGTTGGCTCAAGGAAGGATTGCCTTCGGCTACTGAATCAGGTACGGCATAAAGTTCGATGTGGGACAGGGATAAATGGTCGTGTAACGGGTATAAATTCATCTCCGTGACATACTAATTTATAGAATGGGCTGATCACCACCATAAAAGAAAAGCTGTACACTCACCTCCATGGATCCCTCTCCTTGCCATGTGTGAATTAATGGATTCGCAGTTGAAGGAGCTGCCGACTTCTTTGGTCAAAAGTGCACGGGAATGGGGTTGGAGGGTACATACTCGCCCTACCATAGCTCAACGCTACTTGTCTGCGCCCTCCCACTTCTGGTTGTTCTCTACCCGTCCTTGGTATCGACGCAAGTGCTGCGCCTCGAAAATAGCGCTGACGGGATATGGATACGGCACTCGAGTACCACCTTCTTACAGGCCCGTTCCCGTGCGCTCTTGAACGGAGGAAAGGGACACTAATCCTGCTATGGACCTACTTTGCACATGGAAAGCAACATCTTCGGGAATGAGTGTACACGTTGTCTTCAATATCCTAGGAAAAGTGCCTGCATGAGGAGGGGGCCACGGTGGACCGAACTCCTCCCGTGCAGCAATTTTTGTCATTACCTTTCAGTAAATGGGCCGACTGTAGTCTACTCTCCTTAGTAGTCCTGTCTGACATGACCCTTATTACAGTCACGAAAACAGCGCTCAACACTGCAGATGTAGTTATTATCTCCAGCTCCTGCTCTGATTTTTTCGAGGCCCATTTGCTCGGGCACTATCTCAAGCTCCACCAAACCGTTTTGGAACTCCTCTTGCTTGATGTCTTTTCTCTAAACGCTTGTCGACTAGCATACATTTTAGCTCTTGATCAACGAAGACCGCAATCTTGCCGCTATCGCTCTACAGGAGCTCAGTGATCGTACACCACTGATTGCTTATCCGCTTATAAGACAGGTACCCTGATGACTCGCAACTTTTTGCCTGTGGACTTGACCGATAATCGATTTTTTTTCAGATTTTGGTACGACTCAAGAAACTTTGTTACAAGAAGGATCGGCCAGATTCTATGAACCAGCAGTTGTTGAAGAATATGCGAGTTTATGAAGTGGTGCTCGAGTTTTTAAGTATCCCATACGATAAGGTATGATAGCAGTCAGAATCAGTTCCCCGATAAATCTATGTAGTACTGGAGACGTTACCGTTGATACCGTATCAATCCGAGATGAGGCGGTTTCCGTGGACAGAGCCCATCGCGGCGCTTTCTACCACTGGTTGCTTTGTACCAAGACCCGCCACTATTGGTGCAAAAGGCAGCCGCGGACGGGCTCATTCCACGTCTCCTAACATCCGCCGGATTGCAACGACATCATTGTATTTCCTGGAGACCCATCTCCCAGGCTTTAGTGTCATTTGAAATTCTCTATTATCGACTATCTAGAAGAATGACTTCGAAATGCCACGGTTGATCACGCTGTCGCATGAATTTCTTCGCAGTTTCTGTAAAGGAAACAAGGAAAATCAAAGTCGCCTACACAAATTCATCAGCATCGAAAAAGACGCCAAGGAGGGGATGCTACGAGTGGAGACGGTAGGTCAAATTTGTTGATTCCCAGCAAAGTAGGATTATAATGCGCTTTGGTTACATGGAATTCCCTAGCAGCTTAGAACCTATCAAGATTTTTATTGTTAGAGGGAGAGGATGAAAAGCGCTTGAAGAACAGCCTTCGAAAGCAGTTGCCTTAGGCAGTTCTTACCACTTCTTCAATCCAGCCTTAGTTATACTCTAAGGTTGCTCGATTAAGTTCCTACCATCTCTGAAGTTTTTAGGTTGAGGAGGCTGCCACTCTGGTGGCGATCTTCCGAAACAACAGAGAACTCGCCAGCAACGTTTCTGAAGATCTTATCGCCCATATTGTCAACCTCATCGAAACACATAGGTCAGAGACATTTTTTTATTTCTTTCAATTATCAGGTAACTAGTTGAAATATTGCGATATTTGACGCCACTTGCCTTTAATGACCTGACCTATCAAAATTTTAGACTAAACTTCATTTTCTGCAGTCAACTTCTTACCGCAGTTTCCGAAATTTTCAGAAGAATCATTACTTTTCCCAACATTTTACCATCAAATAGGTGGGGAGGGGATAGGTCCCCACCAAAAAACTATAGATTCAACTATCGAAAATTTTAGTGGTATGGTGGTTCTTCGGCGCCGGTAGCTAGGGAGAGGGAAAGAGAGCGATCGCCTCGTTGGACATTCTCCAGCGCACAACGTGCCCGGATTGAATTGCTGCAAAATAACTTAACTGTGATTTTAGTCCCGTAACGCCGTCTTCTTGGAGCTGCTCCAATCACTGGTCTGCATTCATGACAAAGAAATCGAAACCAGCCAAGATAAAGTTGCCACTGAGGTGAGTTACACTTTCACAGATCAGTTAAACCTATTCGACGTGGGCTCGGAGACTCACTCTCTCTCCCTCAACTGCTCTGAAAATAATTCCAAAATTGCAGATCTGCTCGGCATCAGATGAGGTTCGGGCCCTTTACGTTGACAATGCCTCGTTCGAACAGCTGGAACAAATGATGCAACAAGCTCCACCCTACTTGGACAGTTCACATCCGCTCAAGTATCACATAGAACTGGTCAGGTAAGCTACTCCTGTACTATAAAAGAGAGAGTATACGTTCCCCAAAACTGCGGGTCAAATTGGTTCCGGGTCAGTGGTAAAAAGTCCATCAACCACGCTTTGCTAGGGGCGTGACACAGGCTTACAAACTTGGATAAATTAACCGGAAATCCAGCACGGTATATCCAGTTGTGTGCGTTCGCAGAACAAACACTTAATTTTACGTGCAGCTTTGGAACACCGTATACCCCTATTGCAGGACACATCATTGATTGGGGATTTTGGTCGAGTCCGTGCGCCCCCCCCCCCCTTTTTTGGGGTTGGTACGACCCCCCCCCCCCTTCTGCCCTCCTCATCGAGCTCTCGACCGGG